CACATTTGTGCTTGGTTCACTGTCTCTCAAAAATATGATGTGCGAGAAATCCTGCTAGGCCTCTTAGATTCCATGAACATACAAATTGACGGGAGGAGTGAAAATGACATTGATCAATTAGGAGAACTTCTGTACAAGAAGCTAAAGGGTAGGCGGTATCTTTTTGTAATGGATGACGTGTGGGATATTGAGGCTTGGGACAGTGTGAAAAGATATTTTCCAAAAGACAAAACTGGAAGTCGAATCCTTTTGACTACTAGGCTCGAGAATGTGGCTTATTATATCAATTCTGGTTCTCATCTTCATCATGTGCGTTTTCTGAACGACGAAGAAAGTTGGAAGTTATTTTGTCAGAAGGTGTTTGGAGAAAGTTCTTGCCCTCTTGAATTGGAAGAAATCGGTAAGAAGATTGCCCAAAATTGTCGAGGACTTCCACTTGCATTTGCTGTGATTGGGGGCCTCCTATCAAAGGCCACTAAAACACCACATTACTGGAGAACTATTGCAAAAAATGTAAGTTCGGAAATAACTTCAAATGATGAGCAATGCTCTAAGATACTTTCTTTAAGTTATAAACATTTGCCTTATCATTTGAAAGGGTGTTACCTATTTATGGGAATTTTTCCGGAAGATTATCCAATCAATGTCAAGGTACTTACCAAATTGTGGGTTGCAGAGGGAATCCTCAAACCAGCATGCTCTAAAACATTGGAAGACGTAGGAGAAGAGTACTTTTTGGATCTCGTTCAAAGAAGTCTTATTTTGGTTCATCGGAAAGGGTCCAGCGGAAAAATTAGAACATGTAGAATTCATGATCTGTTACGGGACCTTTGCGTCAAAGAAGCTCAAAAGGAGAAGTTTTTCCATGTCATTGAAGGGAGTCTTTATGGTATTCAAGGAGACACTAGTATGCGCCGTGTAAGTATTACTGATAAGAAGAATTCTCCATCTTTTCAATTTTACCATGCGGCTAAAGGGACTTTCAAGGGTGATGACAAAACACTATCTTCTTTCGATTCTAGGCTACTTAAAGTACTGCATAACAAAGCATTTGATCATTTGCTAGATGGAATGGGAGAATTGGTTAACATGCGGTACTTCTATTACTACCGTTATACTGATGCACCAATATATAAGCTTCGGAATCTACAAACAATTGTTATTTGGAACCATAGGGGGCACATTATACTACCACCAGAAATATGGAAGATGTCACAACTAAGACATGTCAAGTTGGATGGTTATATACATCTTCCGGATCCTCCTAGTTCAGAAATAAAGGGTGAAGAAAATTCTATTGTTGTTCTAGAAAATCTACAAACACTCTCGAGGATGTATAATTTTAGGTTGACGGAGGAGGTCCTCAAAAGAATTCCAAATCTAAGGAAATTGGCTATTGATTATAATATGGTGGCCAGTTGGGAAGAATACTGTATCAATAATTTTGTCCATTTAGCTAAACTTGAATCATTAAAATGTTATCTTAAATATCCAGAGCCAGGGTTCGTATTAGAAATGACTTTTCCGACATCACTCAAAAAGTTGACTTTACATGGCATTTTCCTTTCTGACAATGAATTGACAATTCTCGGTAAGATGCCCAATCTTGAAGTGCTAAAATTGAAAAACAGTAACTTAGCTTCGTCAACGTGGAAACCAAAAGAAGGAGAATTTCTTAAATTGAAATGTCTACAATTATGTCGGAGTGAACTGAAGTACTGGATAGCTGATAGTATCCACTTTCCGAGTCTTGAGCACCTAGTCATTGTGCAATGCGATAAGCTGGAAG